TGGATCGAGTACACATGGTCAAGGTTCACGAGGCAAATTTTGTGACACAAAAAACCTGACCTGTCAAAATAAAAAACTTGGCACTAAAACTTAACTAGAAGCGGAAAGGAGGTTACAGGATTTGAATCACCATATCAACAAAAAACCTTAAATGGTAATTGGCTTCGTCGTCTTAGGAGCCTGGATTCCAGGGCTGCAGTAAAAGTATTTTGCAACTGAAAGGAGTGGTTTTCTACACAGCGTTATTGTAATATTGAATAAGACTTTGCAGTTTTCTTAGCACCATATGCCAGACCTGAAATGGTACTTTGAGTTTGCTCTCCAATTCCCTTCGTGTTGGATAAACTAGCTTTGCCTCCATTGCCTGATGTGGCTACGGTAACTACTGATTCTTCTGACCCCATGAAACGCTTTATCGTCCCCGTAAAAATGTCTTCCATTATTTTGAACATCGAATGATCAACTTTATTAACATCGTCTCTATCAATGACCACCTAAAGATGATGAAAAAGGAATCAAAACATCTCTACTCCACTCGGTACACGCGGTTATTCAGTATGTATTTACTAAGACTAAACTATTGCAGGACTAATCCCTATCAAAGACTTTCACATTTTCGCAGTCAACTTTCTTAGCAAAGAGGAGTTAGTTAATCATAATTTTATTGTAATTCCTTCTAGCTGAAGTTATGAAATTACGTTCATGTTCTTCGAACCTTCTGTGGAGAAACATATCATTTGCATTCTAATTTTGAACACAATAATTTTTGTGCAAAAACTATTGGTTTGAGAGGTCTGATGGTACGATGAGCGTAGTCCTTCAAACAGTTTTGGTCAAAATTAGCAAAGTCATAGTAACAACCACTCCAATGATGAGTTTTTGAAGTCCCCACAGCTTTACTATATTGCTGTCAAGGCTATAAAACAGCCTTTTCCTCTCATTTTAGACTAACAGAAAATACCCCTTGTTATTTAAGCTGACCCGCTCCCTGCCACGTACCAGTCAAAGCACACATTGCTATAGGTATACCCCACCTGTCGTCCTTGTAAGTCAACTTGCGGTAACCCCTCCAACTCAGCTTTCAAGCGCTTTCTCTCGGACTCGTGCCAGTTAAACAAGTCATAAATACCATCAGGATCCAATAATTTATAACCAGTTCCGTGGGGTATGTAATCAACATTTTGATGTTTGGCTCGGAGCGAGCTCTTTGTGGATATTGGCACTAAAGATGATGGTCTATAGCAGTGGGTAGCCTCCTCATCATCCAAAACAGACGAAACTCGACGTGATAATTCCTTCGTCATTTGAGCCCTTAAATCTGCAGGGTTCTGATCAATTGATGCTTTTCTTGGAAATTTAACTCGCGGAATGGGAAGCGTGGGTGGAAGGAGGACGTCATCGCCAGCTAGGGCCTCATGACTGCCGCCCCCATTGATTTTTGCTTCAATTCCAGAAGTATTTTGTTTCTCAGTTGTCCTATTTCTTGACCAGACAAGTTCATGGGAACGTTTAAAACTTTTGGCTTCTTCTTTCGCAATGATTCTTCTTCCTTCTTCGCAACCATTTCCTGAAATCGCTCCCCAAGAACATTATACAATTTCAGAGCAAAGCTGTTCTTCCATTGTTTGATCCTGCTAAATAAAACGCCTGTTGCTCTATTTCTGACGCATACTTAGGAATGTCGGTCAGAGGGGAGTCTGAG